AAAAGGAGCATCCACTTAATCGAAATAGCCATAGTATGCCAAAAAATTATAGATGGTGAAGGCAGATTCAAAATAAAGCAAAGAACGTTGTTAGCTTGGAGGTGGTCCTTATATTATGCAGACAATCAAGGTAAATTGCTGTGTGATCATAATGCAAATGTGGATGCGAAGACCAACAGAAAACAGCTACATCACGTGCTTTTAATTTCCTACTTCTGGCATCTAATGTTGTACAAGACGTTGGCCACCATTGCTCTCATAGGCAACAGGAGATTAAGGGTGGGTGGGAAAAATAAAAATGGGAATAAGAAACTACCCAAAGACATGAGGGTAACCTCTGGGCATCGCTGAGGATGAGGGTAGAAAACAACAGTGCTAAAATGCGTACGTGATTACCATTTTGTATTCTCAACACAGACTGGGGTTTCAGTAGTAAAGACTGTTAACTAATGTGCTCTTAGATTCTGTCACTTTTGCTATCCAACATTTTACCAGGAAATCCATGCAAGTCATTCTGTTAATCTCCAAAGACTAGAAATAAAAGTTGTTTAAAACTTTTCTAATTAGATTGATTGAATTGTACTCTGGCCTCAAAGTCATTTCTTTTCCAGCTCATTAAGCTCATCCTAAAAAAATGACGTTGTTTATATTCATTGCGAGAGGATTAGTTATCCAGTATGAATTGTAGGTTCCAAATGCTTTGAATCATATCATCGTGGTGGGTGTGGTTTTTCTTTAATCACTTCCAAAAGAGAGACGTTTATTTTTGTTGGTTTCTTTAAGTCTCTTCTCATCTAAATGCTGTAAAGACAAAAAAATCTCAGCACAGTATGTTGATAAATCCCACGATAATTCTCTCCACTTTTATTAGTTAAGAATCCAACATTATTATGCAAACAAATCAGTATTGAGACACGCACATCAAATAGGCGACAAATGTCTTAAAAGTTTTTTTCTGTAGAGCTTTCTTTTACCAAAGTGTGTATAAGTCAATCATTCTTGGACATTTTCTTAACTTTATTAATAACTTTGAACACCACCTTTATGGACTTTTAGAGTTGTTAACCAGGATTTCCTGACAAACAGGTTATGCTGATTTAAATCAAGCCATCAATTGAAACAAAAATGTCTAAAGTTTTAATATTTAAGTGTGTTGAAATAAACTGCTGTCACCCTAAATAACAGAGAAGGACTCGGTAAAAGAAAAGATATTTATTTGGGAATGTAGCATTGCAATGGAAATTCACATGCCATAGGAAACTGAGACAATGATACCACCTGTGGAGCTCTGTTCTGCAGACCCTGACTCAGTGGTGGATGAGTAAATACACTCAAACACACAGCACAGTGATCAAATGGGCTAGGGAAGTCGTCAGCTGTTCTCAGAGGGCGATTGCAGCTACCCAACCCCTTGCTAGCTGTTTCTCCTCGCATTTGTTAGTATAGATTTAGTAACAGAGGTTCTAAGTCAACATGCTTATGGATAATTAACATGGTTAAAATAGTGGTTTTACAAATGATAAAAGCTTTTGGTTCCAGGGCCCAAAGTAAAGGCCATTAATGGATAATCCCCCTTCCACCTCCCCAACAGGGAGATGAGGTAAACAGTTAGACACAAAGGAATTTGGGGTAAACAGACTTAACTGGGGAAGTTTCTGTTATCCCTAATCTTCACCCTATGACCTAATGCTCTAAGATAAGGACCGGCTGCTTTCAGCCTGTCCCATTATTAACAAAAATCTTTCTGCCTTCCAAAACATTTGAAACTATTATCCTATAACTTCCCTAATTATTCCCTTAATATTTTGCCAACCAATCTGAGTGGATCTTAACAGGAACTATGTGCATATTTGGGGAGGTGGAGAAGAAAGACACAGATTTTTTTGAGGGAAATTTTACTTAATTGTTTTGAAATAATTAACTGTGGCTACAAATATTGATAAAAAGGAAGAGCCAGGCACATTGGCTCACACCTATAATGCCAGCACTTTGGGAGGCCAAGTCAGGAGGATCATTTGAGCCCAGCAGTTCAAGATCAGCCTGGGCAACATAGTGAGACCCCAACTCTATAAAAGAAGAAGAACAAGACGAAGAAGAAGAATGAGGAGCAGGAGGAAAAGGAAAGAAATAACAAAGAAAGTGAAAGAAAGAAACAAAGAAAGGA